AAAAGAGGAATTGAAGCATACTTGCAATTAATTCAAATCATGTGATAATTCATAGTTTGTAGAAGAACCTTTGATATTTCTAAATTGATTACTAGTGCACATCCAACACAGCAGGTCTACAACTGCTACTTCAACTGATTTGATAAAGTGGAAAGTCATTCAGTATAGGCTACTCTATTCTATAGCCAAAGACCTCTAAGCAAATGAGAAAAATGTCTTAACTTAGTATATCAGTTTGCTAGGGCTGCCTTCACAAAATACCCCAGGCTGAGTGGCTTAAACAACAGAAATTCATTTCCTCAATTCTGGAAGCCAGAAGTCCAAGATCAAGGTGTCAGCAGAGTTGGTTTCCTCTGAGGGCCATAAGGAAATGACTTGCTCCAGGCCCCTCCCCATGGCTTGCAGATGGCCACCTCCTCACTGTGTCTTCACATGGTCTATCCTATGTACATGTACATCCCTGAATGGCTGTGACTCTAAATTTCCTCTTCTTATAAGGACACAAGTCAGATAGGATTAGGGATATCCTAAAGATCTCATTTTAACTCTCCTCTCTTTAAAGGCCCTATCTCCAAACATAATCAAGTTCTGACATACTGAGGTTTAGGGCTTTAACACAGGAATTTATGAGGGACACAGTACAGCCTGTAACAGTTAGAAAACATTTTTGTTCCCTTGACCATTCAATAAAAGCAAGATCCCACATGGTTGTCTTCTATAACTAAACTATTTTATTATAAATATTTCCACCACCAACAACGTATCCTATTAACTACATCATATAGGCAGATAACATTCTAATATTCTACACCTGATTTCAAAGACCAAATGAATAAATAGATCATACACAAATTATGAGGCCCCAACCTACAACTTCCACGACATAATGATTCCAACCAATACAATGTTAGCTATGTTGACTCTGCTTCAGGGGATATAAAATGCAATTAAACTAATAACTAATACTGATTATTCAAAATATGTATCAAACTCACTGACAAATTTTAATTGGCATTTTTAGAAGGCTATAGCAACAAAGAGATTAATATATATGCCTGTGATAGTAGATGAATTTGAAATTTTCAAACACTATAAATTTTCCAGGTGGTTGCCAACTGGAAATTAAGTGTTCTAAGTGCTCACAGTAGGTGAATAAAAGATAAACATTTGGTATTTAGTAAGACATTTCTCATAAAATGATGGAAACTCATGAGGAACTGGAAACCAGGAGACATATTTAAGCAGACAAATATTAGGGTCAAATTAAGGAATTGCTAGCTAAGAACATACAAACAGAGTCTTAAAAGCAGAAAGGGTAGTATTAAATGGAAAGGATTTAAAAATCAAATACATCAATGAATGCTCTTAATGCTAAAATATGGAAACAGAGAAATATGGCAAAAATTAAAAATGAGTTATCATTGAATCTACTCTGATAATACACTGAATATTGATCTCTTCTAGAAGCTTAATTCTATTCCCAGCTGTCCCAGGAATAAACCCTGGTCTAGAGTAGCAGTTCGTAAATAGTAGTATAAGAATTCCTGGAAAACCTATGAATTTATCCTTAAAGAAACAGTAGAACACACAAATTTAGGTGAGGTTCCCAGCAAAAAGCACCAAAGGGAAGGTGACATTTAAGTTTCTTGATGAAGGAGAAAACTAGACAACATTCTTGGTCACAGCTGCGGCTTCCCACGGATTTAACTTAGGCAAAACCCACCATGCAGCTCTGTATTGAGATGCTGCAGGCTATATAGATATATGATAAATGAGAGAAAAGATATCCAAAGAAGGGGTGGGGGAAAGCAGGATTTTCTCAAGTAAATAAAATTTGGAAGGAGAGGTTAAGGGTGTAAGAATCAAGAGTCCCATTTTGTGGCATAATATGATTCTGATACCTTTTTTGAGGTGCAATGGAAATGGCAAAAGCTATTGTCTATACAAGTGTGGATCTTAGAAGGAAAGTCTGGGATATAAATTTGTAAGTCATTAACATAATGGTGGTATTATGGGAATTGAAAGCATCACCTAAAGAGAAGATCTAGGGAGAAAAAAAGAGAAGGGTTCACCACTAGGTTAGTGAAAGTCACTTTTAAAAAAGCAATGCATAGGCCGGGCGCAGTGGCTCAAGCCTGTAATCCCAGCACTTTGCGAGGCCAAGACGGGAGGATCACAAGGTCAGGAGATCCAGACCATCCTGGCTAACATGGTGAAACCCCGTCTCTACTAAAAAATACAAAAAACTAGCCGGGCGAGGTGGCGGCGCCTGTAGTCCCAGCTACTCGGGAGGCTGAGGCAGGAGAATGGCGTGAACCCGGGAGGCGGAGCTTGCAGTGAGCTGAGATCCGGCCACTGCACTCCAGCCTGGGCGACAGAGCGAGACTCCGTCTCAAAAAAAAAAAAAAGCAATGCATAGACACTGCACAGAAGAAGAGGAGAAAGTAAAGGAAATTGACTGTAAGAGAGAAGAGCCAGCTGGGAAAGAGATAGATGGGAGTGAGACAGATTGGGTTTCACTAAGACACAGACATTACACCTGAACCAAGAGGAAGACAACAGCACAGTTTCTGACACAGTGTAATCACCCAATAAAGGCTTGTTAAATTAATGACTGGATGAATGAGTTACAGACTGAACTAGCATGGCATTTCTAGAATTAAGAGTTGACTAGGAAAGGATAGAAATACATGGTAAAATTATGATAACTCTAAGAAGTTCAGACCAAGGTGATGCTGTAAACTTACCTTAGTTTTATTTTAATATACTCACCAACCAAAAAAGAGTAAGTTCTGTAGTATTTTCTACTCTTTAATAAAATTTAACAATGAAATAGATTATTGGGAAGTAATAAGTAAAACTTTTGTAGATTAATTTTAACTGCTTAGACAAGGAAAAATGTATTGAACCTTAGAAGTACAAAAAGAAATATTACAACGGTATACAGAAATACAATAATGACTCAAAATACTTCCACTGAAATGCAACAGAAAAACTGTAAGCCATTCTATCTTAGAAAAGAAGCAGTCCTAATGAAGTAGATTTTTGAAAACTATCATACAGGTAAGCTCATTAGTTGCAATGAAAGTTCTCCCTGCTGATCTAGGAGTACTTAATGATCAGGATTTGTTATGTCTCAAAAACAAAGGTACTTTTTAATTCATGTGATAGCTCACTGAGGAGGTTTCAAATCTGGAAACTTTTAAATGATGATACATAATACATGTATAAGAGCACAAAAACACTCCAAAGCAAACACAGACTTACTTAATTCAAAACATTACATTTTCTCCTCAAGTCTCATTCATTAATAAAGTAATATAAGAATAAAAAAGTTATGCTCAACAATCATCTATACTATAAACAGTGTTTCAGTGATGGCTTTTCTGTGTTAAAGATGAAGCTGGCTGCTCCCTGTGAAACATATTAACGGTATCTGTGGACCCATCCACAGACACTAGACTCCACTCTTAACAGATGGAAACTGAAAAGCCCTCAAACCCCAGCACGCCCTGCTGAAACACCAAAGCAACAAACTGAAAAACACCCAGAAGAACCAAACCAGGTTACAGTTCTGGAAGTCCTTATCAAAGGTAAATATTTTTAAAGAACAAATTAGAATATTAATAAAGAATTTTAAGTATGAGTCAACATAAATATTTTAAAAATTTCATTTACAGCAAAACCTGCTAAACAATAAATTCTACAATAAAAAATACATCTACTCAACCATATTTTTCTCCAGGAAGAAAAACTCCCTGTGTATTTCAAGGTACTTTGTACCATGTTTTCATCCACTACTCTGTTATCTATCAAACTGCTTAATGTCCATCAAGAACACTCATTTCCAATTTTTTTCATCCCATTTGGTCAAAAATTCCAAAATATCAGAATTCTCTCTTTAGAAGAGTTGATTTCCCTGAGTTAACGGACCAATCAGTAAGAGTTATTCTGAATATCACTGAGTAATTTTGAATGTTGCCAACCCATTCAGATCAATGCCCTTTTGCCCTATCTCAGGTGGTTTAACACAAGAAAATAATTTCAATTATTTTCCCTTCTTGAATCCTATTAAAACATCTATAACTATATATATGGAAAGATTCTTCTTACAGCAAGGACTTTTTTTGGTAGCAGAGGGGTAAAGTAAGTAATTCAATCATTCATTATAACACTAGGATTTATTAGTAAAAATTTAGGTAAAAAGCTTATTTTTTAAAGCTTTTGTCTTACAAATCAAGACAGGCCATATGAAATATTTACTTCAAAGAAACATACATCTCAGAACAAACTTTCAAAGAAATCTCATCCAATCACATGTTTCTTTGTCAATAAAGTTCTATAAGCCTCATTTTATAGAAGAAGAACAATTTAAAGGGAGTAGGAAAAGATAAAATTGATTTTTTTAAAGAAGAAATATTCATTCTAACATGGAAAACAATAAAATATCCTTCTTTAAGTTGAATTCCAATATTAAAAAGAAAATAAAGAGATTATAAAGACAATTTCATATTACTAATGACTAGTAATCAACAAAAAAAGAATACAGATATTCCAGCATTCCAGATGAGTTGTTTTCCAAAATGTATTCATAAATTGGTTGTTTGACACCAAGTACAGTTGACAGAATCCATGTGAAATATAAATGAAAATTGAGGCCAGGTGCAGTGGCTCACGCCTGTCATTCCAGCACTTTGGGAGGCTGAGGCAGGCGGATCATGAGGTCAGGAGATCAAGACCATCCTGGCAAACATGGTGAAACCCTGTCTCTACAAAAATACAATAAATTAGCTGGGTATGGTGGCGGGTGCCTGTAGTCCCAGCTACTTGAGAGGCTGAGGCAGAAAAATGATGTGAACCTGGGAGGCGGAGCTTGCAATGAGCCGATATCAGGCCATGGCACTCCAGCCTGGGCGACAAAGCGAGACTCTGTCTCATAAAAAAAAAAAAAAAAAAGGAAAATTGAATTATTAAGGTAGTCAAAAAATTATATTTAAATCATATTATAACCAAGTATTAATAATAGGTCTATCTGTTCTATGACCCTTTATGGCCTGATCTAAGCCCACAATTGAGACTAGAATCAGGTTAGAAATTTGGGCATTATTTTTTGTCTTACAAATCAAGACAGGCCGAGGGTGAAAATGAAACTCTGGCAGGTATGGTGTCTTCTATAACAAAAAAAGAGAGCACCAACAAGTTGGGCAGAGATAGACTCGGTACTCAGGCAAGTGGGGACACTGATAGCTGGTTCTGGTCTCAGGTACATAATAAGCTATCAGTGCCTATGAATGACATTGAATCAAGAGAGCATCGCCCTGGCCAAAGTGGAGATTTAGCAGTAGAAGGTAGGGCTAGCAGGTATCCATAAGGTTTAAACTGCAAAACAAAGTAATTTATAATATAAGGCCTCATCATCTAACTAAACAAATTAAACTCATACCTGCATTCATTACAACTCACAATATTCTACAACTCTCTATTTTTAAAATGAGATACTGGGTATGAAAACACTGTGATAAAGTGGAAAGTATATACAAATAAAAGGTATAATTTTCAGTCTTTTAGCACTGAAGACCAGAGCCATGAAATGTTTCTTAAAAAGGCACAAACCTTTACTAGCTTTGTCTAAAGGTTCCAAATCACCCACAAAATTCAGTATATCAGGGTACTTCTCTTCACATACTTCCACCAGGAAATGAAGTAGCGTTGTTTTCTGATCTGCTGACTTTGTGTCCTTTAGCTAAATAGAATAGGAGGGAGAAAAACACAGAGTCATAAGTATGTTGATATTCTGTCTACTTAAATAATGTTAATACTGTACTTTGTAGATAAGGACTCAAAGTTGTAAAATTAGTTGATTTCGTTTTTGAAAAACAACTATTTAAATACTTGACAAACTACTTTTGACTTGCTGCTGCTTGGTGAAAATCATTATTTGTTGCAAAAAAGGAGTAAGTTTAATCCAGTATGCAATGTTTTATAGAAAAAAAAAAAATATGTGGCAAAATGTCTAGGAAAACTGAGTAACCTATGAGTCTATTTAATAGGAGTATTTAAACATCCCTGGGCATTCATCCATTTATCACTTGCACACACTCATAGAATGCCTACTAGACACTGTAGTAGTTGAAGATCTAACAACAAATAAATCACAGACTTTCCTCAAGAAGCTGTTTAGTTAAAAAATATACATATTTTCCTTGGTGTGACAAATAGTATAGTAAAAATAATCACAAAGTTCATCTAGGAGGACATGGCATCAGAACTGAAACTTCAAAGACAGGAATTTGTATGGGCTTAGGGAAGAGAAGGAAAAAATACAAAAGTGCAATAACACAGGTTCATGCAGCAGCATTTACAAGGACTATAGATGAGGAAGGATATGACACATCTGAGGTGGCTGAGTGCCTCCAGAATTAAAGTGTATCTGTATTAGGGAAGGCAAGTAGGGACATGGCAAAGATATAAATCTGAAAAGACCAGAAAATAAAAGGAAAGGTAATGTCATGCAATGGAAATAGGATTTTGATTTTGAAGTAATGCCAGTTTTCCATCTAGATGAGAGATGATCAGATATACATTTTAGAAAGCTCCTTCCAGTGAGTGTGGCTAAAAAGATTAGGGCAAGAGTACTAAGAGAAGCATGAATAGTAATTAAAAAACCCGTGGCAATAATCAGGCAGGGAAAGAGGGCAGTCTGAACAGAGGTTGTGCCTGGGAAATGGGGACAATGAGACCATGTGGGTGTGGAAACCCAGATGCTGTAAACTAACACAGGTCAGAAAAGATGAGCAACAGATTTGTGTGAGGTGGCCAAAGAAGAAAATTGTTTGCTTTGGACAAGGTAACTTTGAAGCTTTTCGGCAGTATCCAGATGTCTTGAAAGAACATAAATTTATCTATCTATGTATAGAACACGTTTTCATTATTTTTTTTCATGATTGCCCCCTAAGGAGTTTTTAGGCAGTTTTTTCCTAATTGCACCTATAAAATTTTAAAACCACAAAGGTGATGCATTTGTTTATATACTGTATGCATTTCTATGTTTTACACCGAAAAACTAGTTAAACAAGTAAAACATTTTTGCTCTCCAAGAACCAATTTTTTATCCCTGAAAAACACCTATTGAAGATACATAGCTAGACCTCAGAGGAATAAACTGGGGCACCAACTTGTGACCAGTTGATCAAATTAACATAAACAGGCATGTAGAATGAATGAAAAGAGGATACGGGCTTGACATGACCAGGGTGGACCAATCCTAATCTGAAATGGCTAAGGAGTACAATTACAGGGAGAGGTAGTAAAGCAAAAACTTGAACAATGATAGAAGTTATCTTGGGTTTTGTGTAGTGTTGGGGTAGAAAGTATTGGCAAGGAGGAGTGGTATGAACACAGGACTAATAGGTAATCTAGTAGCATTCCCTACCATCAAGTAATCATTTAGAGCAGAGATACAAATAAAGGGTTAAAAAAAAATGAGTCTTTTCCACCAGAATTTAATTTAGAGCTGGAAATTCAAGGCATATCTAATTAGGCACAGCCCTATTTACTTGCTTCCTTTCCAAGAATTTCCCACTTTAAAATAGATTCCTAAATAAATTCCCATAAGTAATATTTTTAAAAATCCAACCTCACTAAATATTCTATCACTATCAGAAAAATACCAAATAACTGTGAATGCCCGGTAGTGGAAGAATGAGAGATTTCTGTGCCATCAGACATATTAACATACTGACTACTTATTGATTCAAAAACTATCATAGCCCTGAGAACAGTGAGTTACCCACCTAGACAGCCTTACTTTCACAACATGACACATGTAATAGGTTTAAATGCTATGCTGACCTACACAACATGCAAGTTATACAGTGGTTCCCAGTACTTTAAAAACAGACTGAATATGAACACTTAGTCCATTATTTGGTACCTTATTTAAAAGAAATACAGATTTCACAACATAGAGCTGAGTGTTTTATAAAAGGACGCTTCAAAAATATGACTCCATTGACTATCTAGACAAATTGTCACTAACATATGTGGATGATTTGGCAATGTTAAAGCATGCCCTTGACTAATTAATAGTCTTGAGCAAGTTACTGGACCTTAGCTTTCACACAGGTAAAATAAGAAAATGAAACAACATAGAAACTCTAAACTCACCTTTTACTCTAAAAAAATTAAGTATATATTATAGTGGAACTAAGAGTTAGTAGACACAGTACAATCTAATTTTAAAAAACTAGAAGAATGGAGAAATGTATTAATAATCTCATTTCAGAGTTATTTCTGTATGTTTGGGTCACTTGGAATCATTCTATAGGCTTCTGTTTTTACATATAGACTCATGAATGTCAAACACAATTTTTAAAAGTTTCCTTACAATCCTATAATTTCATTCATACTATCATTTTAAATAGGTAAGGCCAGATTAAAAGCAGTAAACTCTTACAAATAGTTTTCTCTTTGTACAGCCACCAAAAGTTAACATGAAAGTTGTATTCTGTTTTGTTAAAAACCACCCTAGTAGCAAAGATCCTTTTTCTCACCTACCCTCATTTACAGCAAGGACTACTTGGGGAACATCCTTCCTACTCTGAACTCTCAGCAATCCGTTACCAGTCTACACCCTTGTAGTCTGTGTGGAATGTTAAGACAATCACCATCTACTTCCATAATTTGTAAAGCCTAGAGAGAGTATTCCAATAGTATTTGTGATATAGCTAAACAGCCAGCAACTGCTAGGATTAACGTATCAAGAAATCTCAATGATGGAAGAACAACCAATTGGATCAATCTTGGTCTTTATTTATAAGCAATGAGAATTCAGAATTTAGAATCATGGAACACAATGTAGTTTGTAGCAACTACTAGTTTAATAAATGTTAAGTACTCAAGTCAAACACAGATTTGAGTTATTCAGAGACAATTATAAAGCTAAACACTGATTTAGGCGGAGGGTGCTACCATGGGTTGTCTTGTTGAATACATCAACTGAGTAGCAAGCAGCATACTGGGAACAGTCTAATATTAAAAAGTACACTCACTGAATAGTAAAGGGTAGCACATTACTCCTATCATTTCAAAATGGGTATTTAACAATTGAAAGACACCATTCAAACTTTCAAGTAAATAAATTTGAAACTAAGCCTAATAAATAAGAGGTTCAGAAAAGAAGCATGTTGTTGATAATGCATGGTGTCTCATTTAGAAATTACTATGCAACTCTAAACTCCAGGGCAGAGATTTTTCATTCATGTTCTAACATTCTCTAGAAAAATTTCACAATGCTGCCAAGACACTCTTCCTGCCTCAACTACTCTATTCTCTCCTTCCCCTCTCTCTAATCATTTTTCAAAAAGTCTTCCAAAAGCATGAAAGCATAAAATGTATTAGGTCCTTATCCATTTGCTCAATATTTTTTTGTTTCATTAATGAACATTACCAACTAAAAAGGCACATTCTACTTCTACTCCTATCATATTCATTCATATCATAATCAGTTTCTGAGTTAGAACAATTAAATCTTGGAAGACAGTGTTAATTTTGTTGAAGATGAGTAACAACTTAAGTACACTTTGCAATGCTAAATCTTGGAAAGAAAATAAAATATTGGCTTTAAAAATATGTTCAGGTTAAAAGTATGCTTTATTTAAACTTTAACAGTCAGTGCTTGACAGGATTTCTTTTGTATTATTGTCAAGAGATTTATCTTACTGATGAGTAATCATCACTGTTAAATAGAATTTCCTATTTATGTATTGTTTCTTTAAGGTACATTTAATGTGGCATAAATGTCAAATAAACAAAAGATGGATGGAGTTTCTCCAACCACTCTGTTCATTCCAGACAAAATAATGTTAAAAGTGGATCCTGTAATAAATCATGGCCTAGTTGTCAGTCTGAAGTAAAACTCCCTTGTAGTTACAGTGTAAGGTTTGGGGGTATTTTTGAGGTATTCAGCACAAATTTGGATGACATTTAAAGAATATTCCATTATTTTAGTTACACAGAAATAATTTAAATTAAAACCCTAAAATAAAAACTCAGCATCTTGATGATCTTCAGAAGTCAAGGAACTAGAATCCCTTCCTGTTTGAAATAATGAAACTTACATCCTAAGAATATTATCACATTAATAACTCTATTCCGCATCATTATGTTCCTATAATCTAGGTATGTATCAAAGCAGCATTGAATATTTAGATGTTTAGATGCTGTGGACATTAGTGACCACCAGAAACATGACAAAGTTCTGAAAAATCTTGTCATGGCACCATTAACAGTTTAGAAGAATACAACCTTTGAATAATATTAATGCTGAGGATGACAGTAGCAATTCTTGTTTGGTACTTACTATGAGACAGACACTAGTCAAATAATATAACACATGTTAACTGCTTAAAACATACAACCCCCAACTAGCATTATATCCATTATTTAAAAAGGAAAAAGGAAATTTAGAGAGATCATATAGCTTACGCTGGATCACATGGAGCCAATGATTGGAACGCATGTCTGTGTGAATACAAAGCTCTTATCCACTATAAAATATAGTTTCTTTATAGAAGTCTTTAGCCTAGCTTATTATTAACAAAAGAAAGCAAATTCTCAAAAAATGGTAGTAAAACAACAAAAGAGCACTAATGCAATTAAAAATATTAGCACCCTTTAACCTGCTAATTCTAGCATGGAAAGCATCTAAAAACAGACACCACGCTCCCTTGAGGTCATTTCTAG